TGCTTTTACAGAAACTTTAGCTCCTTTCCCACACCCTCAGCTCCAACCTTCTCAGCTTTCTTCCACCTGACATCACCCACTGGTGCCATTTCTCATCGATGACCTTGCTCTTTATGTAAAGTGAGCTCGTGAGCTCGTGCAACCTTCTACCCTCCTACTGCCAGGACTGGCAATGTTCCCCAGCTTGCAGGACCAATCCCACTCCCTCCCCTCCCACCATCATGAGGCCCTATACCTACTCTTCCATCAACCTCTCTACCTACAGGGACACCTCCCATCTGCTTGTAAGCGAGTTCAAGTTTCTTCCATTTTTTACAATAAATAAAACAAAAAAAAACTTAAGCCTGAGATCTTCTAGTCGGACCATCCTTTCACTTCATTTCCTTTCATAAGAAGTTGGGACTTCAGGAAGGTAGACTCTGTATTTGGCGTTTCCTTCACGTGCCTCCACCTGCATCCCCCTAACCTCCCACATCTTTTACGCAAATGACACTACCTGCCAAGTCGTACTGAAATCTGAGGCAAAGGAGACAGGAATACTGATGTTGTCTCTAAACTTTGGATACTTTGCTCATTGTGGATTTTTTGCATCAAAGTCATTTTTTCCAAAATACTGCCTTAAAATATTATTTATCTAATAAATGACGCTTATGCTCTCAAAAATTATTTATCTTGATTACTGAGTTTCTGAGCACCCCTTTAAATGTTACGTCGAGTTGAGTGCCTCATTCTCCTCACCCTGGCATCCCCGTCCTATTGACAGCGCAGAGGCTAGGTAGAGACCCTAGTTACTCCCTAGTGGTCACATCCAAGTCACTTGGAAATCCTCTGTTATCAGAACACTCTGCCCCATCTACTTCACACCACCATATTCTGTGCAGTCCTTTTCTAACCATCTCTGACTTTCTGTACCTGCTCCTTAAATGCAAGTGTCCCCTAGAATCCATCTCTCACCCACTCTCTCTCTGGCCCTCTGGCCCCCTGCCTATATACTCACTCTCTCCAAACCGATTAGAATGGACCGAACTGCCTGAACCACATCACCTTCTTAATTTAATTCTTCCAGTGATTCTTCATCTCCCATTGCAGATTCAATTTCCTTTGCATTCAAGACTCCTTATGGTCCAGCACCTGTGCTCATCTCTCATTAACACACACCTTGCACATTCAGTTTTAGTCAAACTTCAACAAGTTATTTCCCGCACCTCTGTGCCTTTGCCTAGATTACCCTCTTCTATTTACCTGCTCAGCAAATCCCTTTGCAGCTTTCCGGGCAGCTGAAGTAGCTTTTCTGGGAAGAGTCTACACAGACCTGGTCAATAACTCCTCAGTACCACCACTGTACTAAGTACATAGCTCCCTGGCACCCAGCATTAGCCCCATTTAGTGAAAATGTGGTTAACCTTTGACAGACTTTCTCACAGAATGTCAACTTGACCTCCAATCCATGTGGCATCCAAAGCACACAATGTTCTCTGTAATCAGCAGCTAGCAGCCAGCATGACTGGTTCCCATCATCTGGTAACCTAATCAAGGACATGCTAAATATTTCTTTTTTTTTTTTTAAAGATTTATTTATTTATACAAGAGCTGGGGGACAGCCCCAGTGGCTTAGCAGGTTGAGCGCAGTGCTGGGAAGCTGTCCACAGCCTCTGCAGCGGACAATAGCTAGGTTACAGGGCAGAGGCATGGAGGGGGAGAGGATTCACCAGAGACAGAGTGGGGAGCAGAACAGGCAGATGGACCAAGAACACTGCTGAGGGGAGCAGCGGGCGAAGATAGGAGAGTTCTGCCGCGCCATGTGGGTCTCTCCCTGGCCAGCCGGGAATAGAACCCGCGCTGCAGAGGCTGCGGACAGCTTCACAGTACTGCCCTCAACCTGCTGCACCACCAGGGAGGCCCTCTTTTTATGGAATTTATGTGAGATGATGGATGTTAACTAACCCTATCATATATATGTGTAAATCAAATCATCACATTGTACACCTTAAACTTATACAGTGGTATATATCAATTATTTCTCATTACAACTGGAAAAATATTTAATAAAAGATAGAGCATGAATTGTCATTTTGTGTCTCCCCCAAATATTTTTGTTTGAAGAATAATTTACTTAATTAAGACACAATGGGAATGTAAAGTAACTCTAAAATAAATATTTTCATATCTTTTTTAGTGTCATATCCCTTAAGCTTCTTATTTAATTATATATTGTATTTATTTATTTATTTTTTATTTTTTTTATAACTTTTTTTTTTTTGGTTTTTTTTTTTTATAGAGGCATGTTTTAGTTATTTATTTTATTTGTTTGTTTGTTTTGTTTTTACATGCACTGGGTACAGTCAGAAGCGCGGGAGGGTGAGAGAATTCACCAGAGCCAGAGTGGGGAGCAGAGCAGGCAGAAGGACTGAAGTACACTGCTGAGGGGAGCAGCGGGCGGCAGGAGAGGTCTGTGCGCCATGTGGGACCCTCCTCCGGTGGCCGGGGAGCAGCCAGGGATCGAACCGGCGCTGCAGAGGCCGCGGGCAGCCTCGCAACCCAGCGCTCAACCGCTGCGCCACCGGGGAGGCCCTATTGTATTTATTTTTTATTAATGAAGTAACAAGGATGTTTTACATCCTTGTTAATATGACAATATAGGACTTCTTCCCTCAGGTAGTCATAGCTCTCCCATCACCAAAGCACTCATAGTCCTCCACCATTGTCTGTTGTGCTCTCTGTCCCCCACCTTGTTTTCATCCTCATCCCCCAATATTTTAAGTACGAGGTGTAATAACAGATCATCATGTGGTTCCTGATTTCTGGAATGCTGCGATACATGATCAACACAATCTAGCAGACCATGCTGAAGCTGAAGCATAAATACATTCTAGCTTGGAGTATTATTGACCATTGTTATGTATCAGTGGCTAAAATTATGCATTAAAAATTATTTGGCTGCACAAGTAGTAAATTTCAATTATAGCAAATTGCCCACAAACAATAGATGATCCCAATTATAAAACAACATGAAATTAATCAGAAGGCATGTTTTTTGATAACGCTCTGTGGTAATGCTCAGCCCCAATACTCTCAGGGAAGCTCCCATAAATTGCAGCTCAATTTTATCTCCAAATACAAATATTATCAATCATATTATGTCATATTATAGTTGATAATATTTGCTTAGTAGAAAATATTGATAATATTTGCTTAGTAGAAAAAGCCCCACAGAATGAGGAAGGATCTAGATCAAAAGGACGTTGAGTCACATAACTGAATACAGAACAAAAAGAATCACCAGGAACAACAGGGCTAAATCCATTTAATATAGAGACTGGTTCCTCCTTAAAAAGGTAAATTTTCATGAGGGCAAACTTCTCATACCCAATTACCTTAGAGTATCTCTCCAGCTCTGCCCAAGCCAGAATCTAACTCAAGAGAAGTATCTCAGTGTTCTCTGGACAATACTTTTCTGTCCCAACATCTTTGCTCAAACATTAGCCTCAGGATGGAAACCCCTTTCCTCTTCTCAGTCTCCGCCTATTGAAATTGTGTCCCATCTTTCAAAGCATCTCTTCCAGAAGCTGGTCCTGATGCCCAGATCAAGTTATCTCCTCCTGTTTCACAGCAATGTTTTTATTCACTTCTACCATTTATCTTTTTCTAGGCAGATACCTGTCATCTATGAGGAGGTTTTTGAGGATAGGTAGGCCCTTACTCATCTTCCTTAGGCTGTGTGTGTGTGGGGGGGGGCCCTGGCCAGGTCTGCCAAGGTCAGCCCTACTAAATTTTGTGCTGAATGGTCATCATTAGACACTTCAGCAGGCCTGTGAGTGATGCCTGCTCATGCTTCATAACCTATAAAGAAGCAAGATGGAGCTGGAGGTGGAATAAGAGATCATACTTGGAACCTGGTTGTTCCAGGAGGCAGAGCTTGTGAAATGAAGCCTTTGCAACTACTTGAAATAACAATGCTGTGGTGAAAGGTTGGCTTACAGTGCGATTATAACAGAATGACTAAGACTTCCTGGGAGCTGGCAATTCCTTTATAAGTAATGAATTATCGAAGTTGACAACCTAATATCTTGGATAAGAGAAAAATAACAAAACTGTTTTCTATTTTGTACAAACACTAAATGGCCAAATAAAGACAAAAGCAGCTAAAAGGGGAGACCATCAGAGAACAAGGACATAGCAAGGTACTAAGAGTGAAAAGGGAAGCAATTCTATTGACAGCTGGAAAGAAAAGATTTAGGAAAAAAAGTAATATATGTATATATACATACACATACCCACACACATATCATTCATATATGGTGTATATCATCAAAAAGAAATTATTTCTCTAAATCCAGAAATGAGGAAGGATTTGAAAAAACATTTAGGGCCTCTGAATAAGCAGATGAATGAAATGTAAATTATGCATACACACATTCTCAAAAACAAGAGGAGTGGTCATTAGAAAAACGTGTCATTAACTCCCCACCCTAGTCCAACCTGCTTCCTTCTATTTCAGGCTGTCGGTGACCCTTGTCTAGACGGTCTGGGCTCCAAAGAAACCAGTGCAGAAAATCTCTACCCCTTCTCCCCCAACCACACTATGAGCTTTTGGGAAAAGGCAACGAGATCTGCTCCATCTGTGTGCCCCCACTACCCAGAACTCGGCCTAGCCCAAAGGATCACTGAATGTTGGTAAGGTTACCCTGAATTAAAAAGGAAAGGAGGCATGTCAGTCTATAATTACAATTTTAATTAGTCTCTGGGATTCTACCAGGAAGAAACAACCAAACTGAGTCCATTCCTGAGATTAAAAAAGCGACCCGCTGGACTACTTGGAAGGCAGTGGGTAACCAAGAGGCTCAACGAAGGGCCAGAGAGCTGAAAGCAAGAGACTCAAATCCTTTCCCACTAAGGTCGCGAGGTGGCGCCCAGACGCCCCCGGAGAAAGCGCGACTCCCGCACAGGAGGAAGGAAGGTCCGGCCAGAGGCGCCGAGTACAAGGTTCTCGGTCTACTCACGCCGGTGCCAGCAGTCGGTTCCTCCGCAGGATCTCGGTCGGATCGGCACCCACTCCCGCCGAACATGACCTGAACTCTCGCCCTGGAAAATTTTAGTCCGAAATACTGCTGACCCAACTAGGAAGTGGAAGAAAACAGGAAACAGGCTTTGGGCCACCTTCTCCAGGCAGTCGGCCGTGGACGCACTACAATCAAGTCTTCTGGTTCAAAGTCCCCCCTTGCCCTAAGATTAAAGACCCCAAAAACTCCATGAGAGCACACGTAGGCCTCTCTAGACGGTAAACTGTCCCTTGTGTGGGCAAAGGGTCCTCGTGATGCTCCAGGAAATTACACATACTAGGCTGGGGCTGCACGGGGGAAGCTGTTACAGGGCCACCGAAAGAGGAGGCGGTGACCCGGGGGCGCCCCAGGCACCAAACCTACTTCCGTTTCCAATTGGCAGCTCTCAGCAGGAGGCCTGCGACCACCTTCCCAACACCCGCCTCAAACGCAAGACTCCTGGGAGGGAGATTGCAAGAGGCCCCAGCCCTTCCAGGCCATTGGGTGGATCCACCTTCTAAACAGGATTAAGATTGTAACCGAGTTAAAGGAAAAGCAAATGTCAGTTACAAACAGAGGCAGACATGTAGTTAGAAAAGGCCGTTTAAAGCAGGACACCCAGTCGGAAACTAAAACTTAAGCAAACGTTAACAGAAAAAACGAAAAAGTCTGCATGGCAGACGCTCCCTCGACAACCGAGTCTTTGTTGTTTTGACTCTGAAGCTGAGCCAAGTTTTTTGCTCCTCCCAATGGAACATTCTTGTAAGATTATTATTAGGGGAAGAGATGTGCATCTCTTCTGTAGAGCAGAGCCAGCACGCCCCCGCAGGGTCTAATCGCGTCTAGATACTGAGCGAAAAACCACCTCCCTGCCGCCAACTCGTTGCGTAGATGCATTTCAAAAGTCAACAAGTCAGGGCTTGAATTTACTTCCTACTCCCCACTTACTTCCTGCTCCCCGCAACCAGGCTGAAAGCCACTCCTCGATCTTAACATTTAAAAGAACATGCCCTTCTAACCAAATCCGACACCCCCAGGAGGGGCATCTTGAAATCTTTTCCAGTTCCTCAGACCTTTTGACAGACTGGAAAGGGCGGAGGACGTGCTGACTTTAAACCTTTTCACAAATCCTACCAATTCAAGAACCAGTAGTTGCGAACTTCCCCAAGGCGAGCATTCCTTGCAACTTGGCCAAAATATACATTACACTGCGTTGAGAAACAACCCTGACCTAGTTGGCCAGGCTCTTGACAGAAACTGGAAATTCTTATTTTAAGCAAAGTTTCCAGGTCGCTGGGGACCTGCCAACCCAAGTTCGCGGCCTGCTCTGAGTCTCAGGGGATACCACGGCGGTCCAGGTCCTCAGGCAGGGTGGATCGGGCCTCGCCGAGAACCCGGGACGCCCCGCAGCCCGCAGCGGGGCGCCGATCCTGGGCGGGAGAACACAGAGCGGAGGCGGGACAGGAGGGGGCGAGCGAGGTGAGAGGGCGGGGGCGAAGTGCCCCCGGACCGCCCGCGGGGCAAACCCCAACGGAGGTGTCACCCGCCTGAGTCACCCGCCGGAAGGCCCACTCCCCGCCTCTGCCCGGCACCCCCCGCCCCCGGCCGGTTCTGGGAAACGGGGTACCGCAGCCTGGGGGCGGGCAGGCCGCGCGCGCGGCCGCGGGGTCACTGACACGCCGTCCCGGGAGGGTCGGGGCGGCGCGGGGGCACGTACCGTCCAGCCCGCCGCGAGGCTCCGTCTGCGGCGACCTGATCAGGCGTCACTGCCCTGCGCGCCTGAAAAACGCTGGCAACAATGGAGGCCAAGAAACCGAAAGCTGAAAACTGGCGTGCTGCTTTCCTGTCACGCCCGCCTGGGGTCGCCTCGATCACCCCGGCCTTCTCCTTTCCTAAGCTTAGTGAACTCACATTTGCTGGTTGAGATCCAGAGACCCGCTCACCGACCGCCTAGTCCGAGACCGTCCTCTGCTTCCTGTGTATAGTCTGCAGGATTGGTTGCTGTGGGGCTGTGTTTTAACAAGGTTTTATGCGTGTTTGGCCGGTCTTGCTGGTGTTTGTTATTGAGGCAGGGGAATGAGAAGTAGCAATTGTGAAAGCACTTTATGTTTTATGTTCTGTCAATACCGGATGACTACTTTTTTGTGATGTTTTTTAATCTACTGACTTTTCTTAAATTTAACCTTACAGGAAAGCTGCAGGACAGAACTGAAACTGACAACTCTCGTCGCTTAGATGAATTTCGAAAGCCAACAAGTCAGGCCTTGAAATTGAAATGAGGACCTCGGCTAACCCACTCAGTAGAAAAACTGATGAAAATTATTTTATTATTTTTTAAAGATTTATTTATTTATGCATACAAGAGCTGGGGTAAAGACCAGAGGTGCGGGAGGGTGAGAGGGTTCACCAGAGACAGAGTGAGGAGCAGAGCAGGCAGATCTACTGAATGAAATACACTGCTAAGGGGAGCAGCAGGCGAGACAGGAGAGGTCTGCGGCGCCATGTGGGAATTTCCCTGGCTGGCCAGGACTCACGCCTACACTGCAGAGGCTGGGGACAGCTTCACAGCTCTTGGCTCAACCTGCTGAGCCACCAGGGAGGCCCCAAAACCAGCATTCTTTAATGATAAAAAAAATCCTCAACAAACTAGGAATAGACAGAATTCCTCAACTTTGTAAAAGGCATCCACAAAAAACAATAGCTAACCGCATGTTAAATAGTGTAAAATTGGGCCTCCTTGGTGGCACAGAGGTTAAAGTCTCAGCGCTATCAAGCTATCGCCAGCCACTGCAGCTTGAGTTCCATCCCCCGCCAGAAGCTGACCCACATGGCACAGCAGACCTCTCCAGTCTTGCCCACTGCTCCCCTCAGCAGTGTATTTCAGTGGATCTGCCTGTTCTGCTCCCCACTTTGTCTCTGGTGAATCCTCTCACCACCCCCTGCACCTCTGGCCTATACCCCAGTTCTTGTATGCATAAATAAATAAAAATAAACCTTTTTTAAAAAATTAAATAGTGTAAAATTGAATGCTTTCCCCATAAAGTTAGAAATGAGATAAAGATGTCTGCTGTTCCCACTGCTATTCCACACTATATTGGAGATGCCAGCCACAGCAAAGAAACAAAAGGCATCCATGTTGGAAAAGAAGAAATACAAGTATCTCTTATTTGCAGATCACATGATCTTGCATATAGAATATATATATATTCTTTTTTTTTGTGGGACCCTCGCTGGCGGCGGCTGGGGAATGAACCGGCGCTACAGAGGCTGCGGGCAGCCTTGCAGCCCAGCGCTCAACCGCTGCGCCACCAGGGGAGGTCCTAGAATATATTTTTAAAAAAATCTATTAGAACTCTAATAAGCAAGTTCAGCAAGGTTACAGGATGTAAGATCCATATACGAAACTCAATTTTATTTCTATCCACTTGCAGTGAACAATCCAAAAATTAATTTAAGCGAACAATTTCATTTACCATAGTATTAAAAAGAATAAAACACTTTAAATTTCACCAAAAAAAAGTATAAAGGGGTGTGATACTAGAACAAGGAAAGACATACAAATAAATTTAAAAAATTAAGAGTCCAGAAATAAATTAATATCTGTATGGTCAACTGCCCTTCATTAAGAATGGTGAGATTATTCAATGGGGGAAAAGTAGTCTTTATAACCAATGGTACTGGTACAACTGGATTTCCATGTGCAAATGAATGAAGTTGAATCATATCTCAAAGCATATATAAGGTCAATTTGAGGTGAATAAAAAAGTTACTGCTATAAAATTCTTAGAAGCAAAAAAAGGGTGAAACTTAATGATCTTGGATTTGGCAGGAAACTCATCCAAAACATGAGCAAATAAAGAAAAAATAGGTTAATTGACTTCCTCAGTATTAAAACCTTTTCTTCTTCAAAGGACACAGGCAAGAAAATGAAAGAACAATGTGGAGAGTGCGAGAAAAAAAATTACAGTTCCTGTGTCTTATAAGCAACTTGTGTCCACAATATATAAGGAGCTCAGTGGGAAAAGTTGATGAGGTTTCCTAAACGAATAGGCATACCTCGTATTAATTGGACCCTTGAATAGGATCTCTCAATCACCCTTACTGAAACCTTTATTTCCTTATGTTCTGCGACGCAACTCCAGATTTACTTCCCACCTCTACAACCATTCATTCTTAGTTTCTTTATAGACTTCCTTTTCTTTGCCCCTTAACTATTGATTCTGCCCATAACGTTTATTCTTGCCAACCAGAATTAAATTACTTTTTGTTTTTGGTACCCATATATCCATTCCTCTGCTATGTTTCTCTAGTTTCTATGTCCATGTGATTTCTCCTATAGTCTGTTGGGGTTCTACCTTTTGTTTGCCTCCCTGAGATGCTAAAGGAATATGTTGAATATAGAGTGACAGAGAGAGTCAAGTTCAGGGGATGGACAAATAATCTGAACTCAAAGGTCACTAGTTAATTCAGCAATATCCCAGGTCTGAAAGGGAGATGTCACTATAGACAGAGGTCAGCCTAGGCACAGATGTGGTTTTTCTGTGCCACACTGCTGCTCTTCTTTATTGTGATGACTTGCCTCACTGTGGAGTTCTTTCCCAACACACAATAAAGCTCAGGCCCTCTGGTTTTCCCCTCTTTATTTTTTTTAAAGATTTATTTATGCATACAAGAACTGGGGTACAGGCCAGAGGTGTGGGGGGGGAGGTGAGAGGATTCACTAGAGACAGAGTGAGTAACTGGAGGACTGACTGAAATATATTGCTGAGGGGAGCAGTGGGTTAGTCAGGAGAGGTCTGCTGTGCCATGTGGGTAGCTCCCTGGCTGTGGATTGAACTCGTGCTACAGTGGCTGTGGATTGCTTCATAGATTCTGTCTTAACCCCTTGCACCACTAGGGAGGCCCGAGGTTTTCCCCTCTTAAATTGAATATTTTATAATAAAATGTTGGGAAAGAAAACACTGTGTAAGAGGTCAAACACCAAAGAGCAAATACTATGTCAATGCCTAATACTGAAATTAGAAATAAGACTATTCCTCATGGCTCAGGCACAGACTTCAGGGGAGAATCTGTTATCACATATCCCTTCCTGGGGCCTGTACAGCTAGTTGTTGACAAGAGGACCCACTTACAAGCAGTAAGTGGCAGCTATTATTTTATCCTGGGAATAACATGCTCTTTATACATACCAACTCAAATAATTCTCTGGTAGGGACCATAATCCCCTTTTGACTAATGGGAAAATGGAGACTCAGATAAGTTGAAGAATTAAGTAACCAGATTTTAAAGTCGTACTGTTAATAATTTGCAGAACTTGGGTTTAAAAGCCAGCCATCAAACTCTGGAACCCATACATAACAAAGTCCATTGCCTGCTCTTAACCATGTTGGTATGGAGATATGGCTTACTCCCCCCTTCTATGGAAATACTGCTATCACTCATCTTTTTTTTTTTTTTTTTTCCATCTCCATAGTTTTGCCTGTTTTAGAATGACACATAGTTGGAACCATCCAGCATGTAGCCTTTTTAGATTGGAGGCACAGACTTCTATTGAAGTAAAGCTGGTTTACATTGTTGTTTCTACCTTGGAAAAATAGAACTCCCCCTTCAAGTGTTATTACCATAGGGCACCCGCAGTTCACCACCTTAGTCCAGTCTGCTCCCTTCCCTCCCTCCTTGGACCCTCTGGTTTCCTCAGTTCTATAATCAATTTTCAAGGGTTACTTTTTTAAAAAAAAGATTTATTTTATTTATCTATGCATACAAGAGCTAGGGTATAGACCAGAGGTGTGGGGTCGGGGGTGCTGAGAGGATTCACCAGAGACAGAGTGGGGGCAGGACAGGTAGATCCACTGAAATCCACTGCTGAGGGGAGCAGCGGGCGAGTCAGGAGAGGTCTGCTGCGCCATGTGGGTTAGGCCCCTGCCTGGGGATCAAACTCATGCTGCAGTGGGTGCAATAGCTTCATAGTGCTGAGACTTAACCCTTGTGCCACCAGGGAGGCTCTATAGTTTTATTTTAAATTATGCTTCACAAGCAAGTCTAGCATGAATTTAAGATTTAATATTTTTTAAAGATTTATTTATCGCATATAACTGGGGTGTAGACCAGAGGTGCAGGGTGTGGGTGTGTGTGAAAGGATTCAGAGAGACAGAGTGGGGAGCACAACAGGCAGATTTTCTGGAATACACTGTTAAGGGGAGCAGCAGGCGAGACAGGAGAGGTCTGCTATGCCATGTGTGGGTAAGCTCCCTGACTGGGATAGAACTCAGGCCATGGCCATGATAGCACTAAGACTCAACCCCTACACCACCAGGGAGGCCTAAACTTTCATGCTGTTGTATCATGTTACTATCACGTGAGGTTCCCAGATCTAGGTGATACCAGTACCTATGAACCTGATTCTTCCTCAGTAAGATGATCCCATCTGTGCCGACACAGGAATTCTTTATTTTTAGGACAGTTATTGCTGTAGTTACTATGAGCCACAGAGTTGGCCTTTTGTACTATGTTGCTATATGGTATTTTCCATGGGAATTTTGTAACAGGAAAATAAATGAAGTCAAATATATTATACATATAGCTCAAGAAGATCTATAATCACAAAACATTCACTTAATTGTGTAATTCATTTAAATCTATAATGCAAACATTAAATATAATATCTTTGCTATTTTATAAGGTGAAAATATGACCAATGTATTTAAATTAAGAAAATTTAGAAAGGTGTTTAATTAATTACCAAATTAACAGGAAAGTATGAGTTAAATGTTGTTATGGTCTCCAAATTCAATCTGGAATTAAATAATTAAGATTAGAGGAGGTAAAACATTTGCAGAAGGTACTAAATGCTTTATTTGTAATGAGATTTAATTAGTAATTTACAAAGAATATAGTTGGTAAAAATCTAAAAGCACAATGTTTCTTTTTAACCATAATTTCCTTTGAAAAGTATTGTTTAGGATATTAAGAATTTTTTTTTTCAGGGCCTCCCTGGTGGTGCAAGGGGTTAAGATGCAACTTATGAAGCTATCCTCAGCCTCTGCAGCATGAGTTCAATCCCCAGGTAGGGAGCTACCCACATGGCGCGGCAGACCTCTCCTGTCTCGCCTGCTGCTTCCTTCAGTGGTGTGTTTCTGTCAGTCTGCCTGTTCTGTTCCCCACTCTGTCTCTGGTGAATCCTCTCTCCCCCCACACATCTGGCCTGTACCCCAGTTCTTGTATGTATAAATAAATCTTTAAAAAATCTTCTTGAGTTTTTATTTTTATTTATTTTTTAAGATTTATCTGTTTATGCGTACAAGAGCTGGGGTACAGGCCAGAGATGCGAGGGGTGAGAGGATCCACCAGAGATAGAGCGGGGACCAGAACAGGCAAACTGACAGAAATACACTGCTGAGAGGAGCAGCGGGCTAGACAGAAGTCTGCCTCGTCATGTTGGTTTCTCCCTGGCCGGCTGGGGATCAAACTCATGTTGCAGAGGCTGTGGATGGCTTCACAGTGCAGTGCTTAACCCCTTGCGACATTAGGGAGGCCCTATTTTGAGATTTTAAATACAAAATGAAACCATATGACTTTTCCTAATGGTACAAAGTCATCTGAATTATATCAGAAGTGTACATAGTGCTCTTATTTTGTAATGGATTCCCAGAAACAAAAGTCTTTAGCAACAACCAAAATTCCTTTCGGTGAGTTTTGCAATTTGAGGCCCTATTTCTAAAGAGTTGCTTCATGTTTTTTGCATAAGAGATTGAACAGAAAAATATGCAAACCTTGATAAAAGGATGACTTTTTTCTTCAGCACTTTGCAAGTTTATTAAGGAAAGAGAGATGCCTGCATAGACACAGGCAGGCAGAGTGCTGAGAGAAAAGGATTTTTTTTTGACCTGCTAAAGCCATGTTTTAAATTGTTTATACTACAAATAGTAATTCAATCTAATACAATATATGGCAATTATTTATCTTTTGTATTAGTCTTTAATGAGGTAACATTGGTTTACAACGCTGTATTTGATTTACAAGTACAGGTTCACACCTTTTTAGACGTGCGGCCATACCCCACCAAAGCAACCACAGGGCTCCACCACAGTCAACTGGGTCTCTTCCCCCTGATATCTGACATTTAAAAAAACTTAAAAAAAAAATTTATTTATTTATGCGTACAAGAACTGGGGTATAGGTCAGAGGTGTGGGGTTAAGAGGATCCACCAGAGACAGAGCGGGGAACAGAATAGACAGACTGACAGAAATACACTGCTGAGGGGAGCAGCAGGTAATACAGGAGGGGTCTGCTGCACCATGTGGGCCGCTCCCTGGCCACCAGGGATCAAACTCGGGCTGCAGAGGCTGCAGACAGCTTCACAGTCCTGTGCTCAACCCTTTGTGCCACCAGGTAGGCCCTCCCACAATCCGAGTTTTAAGACTCAATTTTAGAGTTACTATTTGAAAATTCAATGATATGGGGAGAATGTTTATTGTTAGCAATACAGGAAAAAAATGTCACTTTCCACAAAATGGCCACAGTGAAGTCTAAGGTAAAAGTAGAAAATAATCATAGTAAAGAAAAATTAATATGATACATGTTCATTCAACAATGGGCCACAATTGGGCAGCAAGTATTTCACAGTGTAGTTTAGGTCTCTCTAAACTATCTGCAGAGGGGCCTCCCTGCTGGCGCAAGGGCTTTCAAACACAGCACTTTCAAGCAATCCGCAACCTCTGCAGCATGAGTTCGATCCCCGGCTTTGTTCGATCCCTGGCTGGCCAGTGAGCAACCCACGAGGTGCAGCAGACCTCTCCTGTCTGGCCCACTGCTCCCCTCAGCAGTGTATTTTGGTCAGTCTGCCTGTTCTGTCCCCCACTCTGTCTCTGGTGAATCCTCTCACCACCCACACCTCTGGCCTGTACCCCAGTTTTCTATGCATAAATAAATCTTTGGGAAAAAAAACTATCTGCAGAGGATGGTAAAAGTACCAACGCAATTCCCATTTAAAACCTTGTTAAAGCACACCTATGTCCATAGCAGCATTACTTAGAGCAGCTAAAACATGAACACAGCCAAAGCCTCGATGGAGAATGGATAAACATAGTATCCATTACATACATACACATACACAGGAATATAATTCAGCTTTAAAAAGAAATTCTGACGTATCTAAAACATGGATGAACTGGGTGAACATATAAGGCAGTTGGAAAAAGTCAAATAATGTAGGATTCCATTTATATGAGGTAGTTTTTCACTACCTCATAGAGAACGTAAAAAGGTGACTGTCAGGGGCTGGAGGTAGAGGGACTAAAGCACCATTGTTTAAGGGTAGTGACTTTCAGTTTTTTTTTTTTTTTAAAGATTTATTTATTTATTTATACATGCACTGGGTACAGTCAGAAGCATGGGAGGGTGAGAGAATTCACCAGAGCCAGAGCAGGGAGCAGAACAGGCAGAAAGACCGAAGTACACTGCTGAGGGGAACAGTGGGTGCAGCAGGAGAGGTCTGCGCACCATGTGGGACCTTCACTGGTGGCTGGGGATCAAACCAGCGCTGCAGAGGCTGCAGGCAGCTTTGCAGCCCAGAGCTCAGCCTGTGCCACCGGGGAGGCCCGACTTTCAGTTTTAAAAAAGATGAAAAGAGTTATAGAAACAAGTTATATGGTAGTGATGACTGCACATTATGAATGTGCTTGATACCACTAAACTGTACGCTGAAATAATGTTAAAATGGTAAACTTTATCCAATAAAAAAATTGAAAAAGGGGCCTCCCCTGGTGGCACAGGCAGTAAAGCGCCGCACTGTGAAGCTGTCCACAGCCACCGCAGCACCAGTTCGAGACCGGCCGGCTGGTGAGGGTCCCACATGGTACGTCAGACCTCTCCTGTCTTGCCCGCTGCTCCCCTCAGCAGTGTATTTCGTTAGTCTGCCTGTTCTGTTCTCCGCTCTGTCTCTGGTGAATCCTCTCACCCTCCCGTGCATCTGGCCTGTACCCCAGCTCTTGTATAAATAAATCTTTAAAAAAAAAATTAAAAAAACTCTACAAACTGTTAGAATATATCCACTTTTGGGGCCTCCCCGGTGGCGCAGCGGTTGAGCGCTGGGTTGCGAGGCTGCCCGCGGCCTCTGCAGCGCCGGTTCGATCCCCGGCTGCTCCCCGGCCACTGGAGGAGGGTCCCACATGGCGCGCAGACCTCTCCTGCCGCCCGCTGCTCCCCTCAGCAGTGTACTTCGGTCCTTCTGCCTGCTCTGCTCGCTGCTCTGGCTCTGGTGAATTCTCTCACCCTCCCGCGCTTCTAACTATACCCAGTGCTTGTATGTATGTATGTATGTATCAATCAATCAATAAATAAATAAATTTAAAAAAAAAAGAATATATCCACTTTTTCACATGTAGGTATGCAGAATGCACAGCTGTTGATACCCAGGCCCTGATGTATTCCATTCCAAATCTGGTAAGGTTTGAGACACTTTTTTTTTTTAAGAAAAGAAAGACAAAAACCAACTGGCTCCTTTTCTTACTTTATTAAATCTTACTAGTATTCTTTAAGGGACTAACACACATCAGTAGGCTACAGTTAAGAAATCTTGTTTTTATGCATTAAGAAGCCACTAAGTTACTTCTGTTTTATTTGTGGTGATTTTCTTTATTCTGGGACTCCAGGTAATATTCAGCTCCCACAGCTACCACAAATGCAGCAAATCCCCATTTGAATCCTTTTAATAATGCACCAACAAAGGAAACATTGTTTGCAAAGCCACCCATGAATCTCCAAGCTTCATTGCTAAAGGAAAAAAAGAAAATTGTAATCATATATGACTTATTTACATTCACTGAGTAAAATATACTTAATTCTCATCTAACAAACTTAAATGCAAACTTACATAAAATAATCTAAGTGGATTACAATAGGAATCTTTCTGTGGCACAGGAAACAAGGTCTACAAGCCCATTTCCATTAAAAAAAGAAACAACTAGAAGAAAAACAACGGATCATTTTACATTCCCTAGTCAAAGTACTCAGGATTTTACAGTGTTCTCAAATGCAAGACTCATTTTGATCTATACATCCCAGGTATGTATATATGTATTTACTTGTCACTACAGTCTCATGGAGAGAGAAAGTTAGAGACTTGGGTATTAATCTTTGTTATGCCGCTATACTAGATTCATAATATTTTAGGATGGGCAAGCTGCTTAACTTGTCAGGACCTGCTTCCTCTTCTAGTCAATGATGATTACTAACTGGTAATCCATAAAAAGATCTACGGAACTAAAAAGTGATCTTAACAGAGGTGATAAGATACAAAATATATTAAAACCAAGTGTATTCATTTATTTATTTATTTATTTATTTAAAAGATTTATTTATTTATTTATACAAGCACTGGGTACAGTCAGAAGCACGGGAGGGTGAGAGAATTCACCAGAGCCAGAGCGGGGAGCAGAGCAGGCAGAAGGACCGAAGTACACTGCTGAGGGGAGCAGCGCGCGGCAGGAGAGGTCTGCGCGCCATGTGGGACCCTCCTCCGGTGGCCGGGGAGCAGCTGGGGATCGAACCGGCGCCACAGAGGCCACGGGCAGCTTCGCAACCCAGCGCTCAACCGCTGCGCCACCGGGGAGGCCCAAAACCAAGTGTATTTATTATAAGTTAGCAACAAACAGTTGGAAATTCAAGTTTTAAAATATCATTCATAATAACATAAAAATACAAAAAAATTCAGGGTTAGTTCAATAAACTATGTATAAGATGTGTATGTAAAGTAATAAAACACTGATGAGAAAATTAGAAGATCTAAATTGTCTACATACTGGAAAACTCAGTATTTTTAAGGTATCAATTATTTTCAATTTAGCTATAGATTTAATGTGATACCAATTAAAATCCAAGCCAGCTTTTGTAGAAACTGAAAAGCTCATTCTAAAATTTCAATGTAAGTGCAAAGAAGTTAGAATACCTAAAACAATGAAAAAAAAATGTTGATGACCTTATAGTATCTGATTTGAAGAGAGTGTGGTATTGGTGTAAGGGTATGTTTAGTGATCAGGGTAACAGAACAGAAAGCAGAAACGGACAACACAAATTAGTCAAGTGATTTCTAACAAAAGTATCAAGATGAATCAGTGAGGTAGGGGAAAAGTCTTATACTAGGGGCCTCCCAGATGGCCCAGCAGGTAGAGTGCAGCGCTGTGAAGCCATCCACAGCCTCTGCAGTGCGGGTTAGATTCCCGGCCGGCCAGGGAGAAACCCACATGGCTCGGCAGACCTCTCCTGTCTCACCCGCTGCTTCCCTCAGCAGTGTATTTCAGTTAGTCTGCCTGTTCTGTTCCCTGCTCTATCACTGGTGAATCCTCTCACCCTCCCACTCCTCTGGCCTGTACCCCAGCTCTTGCATAAATAAATAAAAAAATCTTAAAAAAAAAAAAAGAGTCTTATAATAAATGGCCCTGGAACAACTGGATGCTCATCTGCAAAAATATTATCGTTCATGTTTATGTCACGTGATACAAAAATTATCTCAATTTTTATACCTAAGTTTAAGAAAGAAAACTATAAAAGTATCTAGGAGGAAATATTAAATAAGATCCAAAAAACAAAAACCATAAAAGGAAAAAAAAGCTAAATTGGGATTTCATTAAAAGTAGAACTTTTGAAAGAAAAGGAAAAGATAAGCCACACTGGGAAAAAACATCTGGAAAAAACCTTATATCTGATTAAGAACTTTTATAAAAAATAGAAAACTCTTATAATTCAATACAAGAAGACAAACACTCTGATAAGTAAAATGGGCAAAAGATTAAAGTAGACATTGAACCTAAGAAAACATACAAATAAAAATATGAAAAAAGCCTCATCGGTCTGCATGCAAAAGCAAATTCAACCACAAAGACTAGAATGGCAACCACAATGACTAGAATGGCAAAAATTAAAAGACTGATAATACCAAACGTAATGAGGACATTAAACAACTGAAATTATCATACATTGCTGGTGGGAATGCAAAATGGTACGCTCACTTTTGAAAAACATTTAGCATTTTTAATAAAAATAACCATATATTTTATCATATGATCCAGAAATCCCACTCTTAAGTATTTACCCAAGAGAAATGAATACATTCATATACTCAGACCTGTACTTGAATGGTTATAGCAATTTTATGCAAATAGCCAAAAACTGGAAACAACCCAAATGACCATCAGCTGGTAAATATAGAAGTATATTCATACAATGGACTATTACTCAGCAATAAAAAAGGAACTAGGGATCTAAATTTACAATGTACATAATTCCAATTACATAAAATTCTAGGAAGGGTAAAACTACAGAGACAGAAAGCAGATCAATGGTTGCTAGGAGTCTGGAGTGAAATAGTATTGTGTACAAAGGGACATAGGGAACTTTTTGGGATGACAGAAAAATTTATATCATGTCTATGGTGATAGTTAGATAACTTCATATAAAATACACATACAAATATTATATAAGTATACTACATACTTACTATATATATAAATGGTACTTCAATAAGCTATATACAATTTTCTAGTATACATTCTATCTAAATTATTTATACTTACCGGCCCCATGGATCCCTTAGTCCTTGTGCAGCCAGCTTCTCCTGGACAATTTCTAAAGGTGTTCCTTCTATCTTCCATTGTTTATAGTCTGGAAGTTCCATTTTACCATGGCCATGGCCATGTCCATGTTCATGTCCATGGGCCATGTCTACAGGAAAAAATTAACATAAGGGAGAAAACATAGGTTGTAGATAACAAATAGCAAGCTTTGCTATTCATGTTTATGGTAAAAACATTTAAAGATGTTTAAAAAAGAAAGCCGATATAAAATTTGAAGATTCTGAGATAAGAGATTTTATAGAAGTATCTTATTATGTAACAAATGTATGTTCATGGTTAGGAAATACACATACACAAAATATAAAAAAGCATAAGCAGTAATTCCACCACAAAGAAATAACCATTCACTATTTGGTTCTTTTCTTCATTATAACAGTAAACATTGTGTCCAATGTGCCAGGTGCACTGCACTTAAGCTGTTTACATATATAAGCATAACATGCTTTATTATGTTTTATTTTATTGCACTTTGTAGAGTGTGTTGTTTATAGGAAGCTCCACCAGCAAAAAAGATTATCATGCTGAAAGTTCGGAGAATGGTTAGCATTTTTTAGCCATAAAGTGTTTTAAAATTAAGGTAAGTACATTGTTTTTTAGACATTATGTTACTGCACACATAATAGACTGCAATATGGTGCAGTATGGTGTAAAAGAACTTTCAAATGTACTAGGAAATTAAAAAAGTTTTTTGAGTTTTAATGCAATATTCACTTTATTGTGGTGGTTTGGAACTGAACTCACAATATCCCTGAGGGATGACAGTAATAACTGTTGTTCTGAAACAACTCTGAACTTAAATAGTGATTATTAACCCCACTTTACAGATGATGACAATGAGGGCACAGAAAGGAAGGAAACTTTCAGAAAGTAACAAAAAACAGTAAATAATACAACTGGGTTTTGAATGTTTAAGTCTGGTTTCAGAACTCTCATATTGTGTTCTTTTTAGTCCTTTTATAATACATATACACAACAAAAATGCTGTAAATACTGTTTTGTTACTGGTTTTCTTTAAATGATTCTTTTAAATGTAGTATTATTGTTTTTAAATACACACAATCACATGAACTTTTTCTCTGGAGTCAGGTAATAAATATTTTAGGGTTTGTAGGCCAAAAAGTAAAATCAAGGATATTATATAGGTACTTACATAACAGAAATTAAAACCTCCACAAACATTTTACTGATAAAATTAAAAATATAATAAAAGCTGGTTATAATTTTTTGTAATACAGGTCTAATGACAGAAAATTCCCCATTTTTGATAACTTTTTTTTTTTTAAAAGATTGATTTACTTATTTTGCATATAAGAACTGGGATATAGGCCAGAGTTGCAGGGTGTGAGAGGATTCACCAGAGATAGAGTGGGGAGCAGAACAGGCAGAATGACTGAAATACACTGCTGAGGGGAGCAGCGGGTGAGTCAGAAGAGGTCTGCTGTGCCATATGGGTTAGCTCTCTGGCTGGGGATCGAATTCGTGCTGCAGTGGCTGCGGATAGCTTAATGGGTTGTGTCTTAACCCTTGCGCCACCAAGGAGGCCCTTTGATAACATTTGCTTTATCGTAGTTTTCCAAGCTTAGTATACCTTAGTATCAAAATGCAAATGTTCTTTTGTAAACACCATTTTTAGCTCATGTGATCCACAAACACAGGCAATGGTGGATTATCCAGCCTGATGTAGTTTGTTTTCTTCTGTACCAGACTAATAGGGATCTTAGAATCCCTTTTGTTTGCTTCCTTAAATAAAATATGTCCTGAATGATGATATAAAGACTTCAGTTTCACTAGCGTAATTTTTATAGATAATTTTAAAATAAACTTCAGTTCAGCCCCAAGTTAAATTGCTATGAATTTCAAATTAAGGGGGCATGGATTAATGATGCCATACTATAATTTGTATAATGTTAGCAGTAGCAACTCTATAATTACTGCTCTACAGGAATAAAATCAAACCAAATAATTATTACTATTATATCTCATTTATAACTATGAACAGATCCACTAATAAGACAGGATTTTTTTTTTTTAAAGATTTATTTATTTATTTTATACAAGCATTGGGTATAGTCAGAAGCGGGGGAGGGTGAGAGAATTCACCAGAGCCAGAGCAGGGAGCAGAGCAGGCAGAAGTACACTGCTGAGGGGAGCAGCAGGCAGCAGAAGAGGTCTGCGCGCCATGTGGGACCCTCCTCCGGTGGCCGGGGAGCAGCCGGGGATGGAACTGGCACTGCAGAGGCTGCGGGCTGCTTCGCAACCCAGCGCTCAACCGCTGTGCCACCGGGGAGGCCCTAAGACAGGATTCTTACAGTGCATTTTAGAAGACAGCGGTAATTATTAGTGTATACTGCTAAAGACATTATATGAAATGCTCATTTCATTAAATCATGTTTTCTAAAATATGGGGGTTAGGGTAGTGTACATAGTAATTCTCACAAATTAACCAAAATTCAGTATTTATATTTAGAGGGATGTGAAGATATTACAAAGCATTATTTTGATAATTTTTACATTTAAAAGAGAATGAAAATACCTACCAAATGCAAGTTAAAACTACAAAATTCAGAACTTCAAATGAAGCATTTAATCCACTGTTTCATTAGTTAGTGAATTCAATAATATAAAGTAAAAAATTATGATTTCAGGTTTCACACTGACTTGAGATTCAATACACATCCTGGATACACAATTAACAGCTGTAATATCCTGGGCAAATTACTTAATCTCTCTGAAACTCAGTTTGTTCATATAACATCAAGATAAAACTACCTTGCAAGATTGTGAGAACTGAGGAAAACACAATGTGATGTGCCTCCCACTTTTACACCCAGGTGAGAATGTGACTTAGCACAACCATTCTGAAAAACTGTTTGGCACGACCTAGAAAAGTTGAACATTTGAATGCCCTATGGCCTAGCAATTGCACACCCAGGTATATTTATTCTAGATCTGCACTGTCCATTATAGTAACCATGGGCACTTGAAATGTGGGTAGTACAATTGCGTAATGAGAATTAAATTTCAAATAGATTCTGAAATCAGTCTCATTAAAAATTTTCATGTGTATTTGGGTGAATTTGGGTATACAGAACTGTTATTCAACTGTAACTTTTGGGAACTATAAACACATTAAATATTTTCATTTATGAAAACAGCATACATTCTGTAAGTACAAAACATTGATGTAGAAGACTATAGAGAAAATGTAAACTTCATTAATAGTATTTAGTGCTGATATCTTAAAATAATATTTTGAATTACTGGATTAGATAAAATATCTTAATTTTACATTTCTTTTTACTTTTTAATATGGCTACTTGAAAAAACTTAATTACATACATGGTGTATATTACATTTCTACTCTACAGCACTGCTCTAGCCAAATTCTTGCCTAAGTGTAACAACAGCTATTCTTTATAAGAATCTTTTTAGCTACATTTTTTTTTTTTAAAGATTTATTCATTTATGTATACGAGCATTGGGTACAGTCAGAAGCGCGGGAGGGCGAGAGAACCCACCAGAGCCAGACTGGGGAACAGAACAGGCACACCGATGAAACACACTGCTGAGAGGAGCAGCGGGCGTGGCAGGAGAAATCTGCCACGCCATGTGGGACCCCCTGGCGGCAGCCCACCGCTGAACCACTGCGCCACCAGAGGAGGCCCCTTTAGCTACATTGTTTATGTTAGCCCCAAACTGTAAACAATACAAACATCCAGCAATAGAATGGATTGTTTATGTTAATAGTCACACTATAGAATATGACACAATGAGGGCCTCCCTGGTGGTCCAAGGGGGTAATCTCAGACCATGAAGCTATCCGCAGCCACTGCACCATGGGTTTAATCCCTGGCAGGGAGATGACCCACATGGTGCAGCAGACCTCTCCTGCCTCACCCACTGCTCCTCTAAGCAGTGTATTTCAGTCAATCTGCCTGTTCTGCTCCCCATGCTGTCTCCTGGTGATTCCTCTCACCCCCTACCCCCTATGCCCAGTCTGCACCCCAGTCCTTGTATGCATAAATAAATCAATCTTAAAAAAAAAAAAAAAAAAAAAAAGACTATGGGCCTCACTGGTGGCGCAGGGGTTAAGATGCAACCTATGAAGCTGTCTGCAGCCACTGCAGCACGAGTTCGATCCCAGGCCAGGGAGCAACCTACATGGCACAGCCTGACTACATGTGCCTACATGTGCCTCTCCTGACTCGCCCTCTGCTCCCCTCAGCAGTGTATTTCAGTCTATCTGCCTGTTCTGTTCCTCACTCTATCTGTGGTGAATCTTCTCAGCCCCCCCCCCCCACACACACTTCTGGCCTGTACCCCGGTTCTTGCATGCATAAATAAATCTTTATTTATTTATTTTTAATAAATCTTTTTTTAAAAAAAGACTATGACACAATGAAAAACTACATGTGACTGCATGAATGAACCTCACACATCTGAGCAAGGGATGAGTCAGAAGTATATACATATACTTTGATCCCATTTCTATAACCAGCAAAATCTAATAATTCATTTTTTAGGGATGTATCAGAGGTGGAAAATTAAAGTAAAATCAATGAATACTTATCACAAGTCAGGACAGTGATTACCTGTTGGTGAAGGAGATGGGCTCAGAGTAATTCATACAGCTTCTAAGGCAGTATTTTTCAACCGATTTTAAATTATTGTACCAGGTTTTGGGTGGGTGGGGACTTTTTTTTTTCCTTATCCTGTTCACATGACCTCTCCTCCCATAAGATCTTAATATTAGATATTCTGTATATATGTTCACATTCTATGGCTCTCTGCAGGGACCCCCAAGAACCAGTTTGCACCGCCTTGAAGAGCGATCAACTATTGAGAACGCAAGTTCTAAGTTACTGGCAATGCTTTCTTTTCTAACCTGAGGAATAGTTATACAAGCATTTGCTTAATTTTAATCCCTTCTAGTGTACTTATGTTTTATACATCCTCCTTTTATGCGTACTTCATAATAAAACTGAAATTTGATAATGTGACCTAAATTATGTCAGGACCCAACAACCAGTGATTATTTCAGTTTCAGAGCTGTTCAAACAAGAATTGCAAGGAAATTCAGTCAACAAAGAGAGGATACGTAATTATGAAATTTAAAGAGGCTACCTATGGCTGGAGTGAACCTATAAGTTTGGTGGATTAAAGGAGGCTGGCACACTTTCCCTAATAAGGAAATAAGACAAAATGCCGCTTACATTACAAGTAATTTTATCAAGGACTTTCAAGTATACATTCCAATTTCCCCATATTTTAAAAACTGTTAATATACTCCAAGAACATTAGAAAATAAAAGACAAATGAACTTTTAGTGCTCCTTTCAGTCCCTGCACCTATGTATATGCAATTTGAAAATAAGCACTCTAAAAAGCTAGACGTGACTTTGTATCCTGCCTTATTTTATTTTGAATCGTATCATAAACAGTGATACTCGAAAAATCTTACTTAAAACTATAGCAGGCATTACAATTCTTATTTTGAAAATTTTCGATTTTGGGGCTCTTCTGCTTTTATTCAAGTCAAAGGTAAACAAAAAACAGGCGGGGGGGGGAAACTTATGGACTTAGAACAACTAATTCTCATCACATCCTTCTACAACCACCCCTGACTGTCCCATGACTTCATAGTTCTCCACTGTTCCCTCTTCGATCTCCTTGCTCCCTGAGGCACACCTCTTACCACCCTTCTCCACCTAGCCTCTCCTTGTCTACAACTCCCAGAATAGAGTCTCATTCTTATTCCCAAAGCCGAGGTCTCCCAACAACTGTCTTTTACCTGACGGCAATCTGACCTCTCAGGACATTCAATATTCACCCCTCCAGCCGGAGCCAACAGGAAACGGAAGTTGTCCCTGAGTACTTTCCGGCAAGGAGGCAGAGCTGCCACTTACCGTTCCGGGGGTGGGTCACAGATTCTTGGATCAAGTGGGAATGACATGAAAGAGGATGGAAGCCGACATTTCCCTCCCCCGCACCTGTGCATCGGTAGTCTGAGGAAAGAGAAATTGTGGAGACTAGGGGGATCGGGAGAGGCGATGTTTTCTTTTCCTGGAGACCGGAATATATAAACGCTGCACCGAGGGGCGGGTCGCAGACATCCTGCAGCCAATGAGTGGAGCTGTTGTTGGGAGCTTGGAATCACCCAATGGGAGGGCCGGTTGTTGCGCTGCAGTTGGCAGCTGCTGCGGGAGGCGGTGGCGGTAAGAAGCCGGAGGCAGCAGGGTGACAGGTAGGCGGCGGTGCTGTCTTTGGGGAACGCAGAGTGCTAGATCTGGAGGGATTTTTTTTCTTCTCCGCCTGCAAGAACTATAGAGGGGAGCTGGCGAGGGGAGTCTGGCAAGGCTGTAGCCCGAGTGTTGGTGGTTCCAGACCCTCAGACCAGGTAGCTGCTGGAGAGGGTCTTGAGAAGGCAGCGAGGCGGCGTGTGAAGGGTGAGCCCGGCGGGGCGACGTGAGGGCCTAGGGCGTGGGGGCCTGCGGTGGCGCGGGCAGAGGAAGGAGAGAGGCGGCAACTAGACGGTGTTGTGAGGACTGGAGGGATTTCCTTGCACCGGGAGCTCGGAGAGAGAAAAAGGACGCGGCATTGCAGGCACCTGAAAGAAATCCCAGGGCATGCTTCTTAGGGCCGTTTCTCCCGGTGGGAGCAGGGAACCGAGGAGAAGGAGATTTACTGGCGGTCAGATCCTTGAAGCTCTTTATAGCTGTATATACATTATGTAATCCTTGGCTGTTATTTATCCAAGCAACTAGGTTGTCCCTCCTGGAAGAGGAGGTCTTGTCACCTATTGATGTATCAGAATAGTTTTTTCCTTGGCTTGAGTGCTTCCACCCCAGCAGGCTCTGCAGGCGAAGAAGCTAGAAGGATAGAGAAGTCACGAAGAGTTTATCCCAAATATGGGCTTGAGGGATGTGCTAGTTTGAGATGAATGTGACCAGGTTCATGTTTTGTACTTCATGAATTTGTTTTGAAGGTCAAAGCTGATAAATATTTTTTTTTAACCTTCAGGTGAGTGGAGAGCCTAAGAAATCTGTAGTAAGAGGTAAGTTCACCTTGGAAAGTGACTAGAAAATGAGTTGGTAGCTATTTCCCCTCCTAGATATTGTGAGTGTTAAGGGCTGTACAAATAAGGTGGTGGTCTGATTTGGGGGAAATGTCATTTTTTTAAAGTAATTTTCTCGCAAGTCTGAGAAGCTAGTTTTGGTTATATATTTCTTAAATATTAAAGTATTTCTTTGAGCGTCTCCATCTGAGGTAAAATTTATTTACAGCCATAATTTAAATCATGTTTTTTTCTAAGTTTTTAGACTCCTTTGTTTGTATAATGAAATGTAGAAATAAAATAGCCATTTCATTTAATATGTGTTGTGGAAGGACAAACTACATACGAAATTGAATTTTATAGCTCACTGGAAACAATTTTAAAAGAAACATAAAATTACTAAAAATGTAGGCTGCTTGAAATGTTGCCTTTAGCTTAGAAGATAAATAATAATGGTAGTATTAGCAAGTGTATAATTTTCCTGTGCTTGTTTTAATACTGCTTGTCAGAAAAGCTTTAAGATGTGATTTTTTTTCTGTTAACAATTTATGTTTAGTATGTCCCAGAGCCTAAATTAAAAATTTGTATTTCTTTCTCCTCTAAATAACATTTGGTAAAGAGAGTTGTATTGTTGGTTTGTTGTTCAGAAATATTTAGAATACTGGGATATTTTAATCACTGCTTCATATACAAATTTTGATTTGGCACTTCATTTTTTGTCTTTTTATCTTTTTTCAAGAATAATACTATCTTAGTCACAAAGAATGCTTCTATTTTAGGTACACAGTACTGTAGTGTGAATACCTATGAACAAATCTATGCTTTTATGTGGTAACGTGTGTGTGTGTGTGTGTGTGTGTATGTATTCTTATTATTATGTAACCATCCTGCTAAAGCTGTCTTAGCAAACTAATGGCTGATTTTGAATGGCCAGTAGGTGTCATTGTAGAATGCAATAAAGTTGAACAGAGTAAGAAATTACCAAGTGATTTGAGAAACACTATTCTAAATTAGACTATAATAATTGACTGATTATATGCATGCCATTAGAAGTCCTCTTTTCTGACACATTTCAGTACTGGAAGTGCTAATGGGAATTTTAAACAGTGGCTAGAGAGAAATGTGGTTGTGCTTAAAATGGCTCTTGAAAGTTTTTTAATCCAATTCAACTGTCTTATGTGCAATATAGATTTAGGTTTATTTGTTTTTAATACACGGTTTTGGCATGTAATATTAGTTAATTAAGTCCTTGAATGATTAAAATTTTCAGCTTGATTGAGATTTTTAATAGAAAATCCAATGCTACATAAGGAACAGCTAAAATGATAATATATAGGCAGAAAGTCTCCAAACAAGTTATTATCCACACAAAATATTACTTTGTTGTTGTTCTTTTAATGCTAGAACAAAGGATTATTTGTCTTTTCATTGTGATTCTTAGTTTTTTAACATTCAAAATAACTTCTTTTGACATTTTTATCTGACTAGTAGACTATGTACTTTTCCCAGGATGATGACCTGAACATTTGTCACTGTCTAATAAGTAATATAATGGATTTGGAGGGAGCTGGCACAGAAAACTCAGTATAGACCCTACTGGCAGAGCCTTCTACTGAACTCTTGTTACTTTGTAGTTCTGCTCCTTTGCTGTTGATACAGTGTTAGAAAACAGACCGAATTCAGGAATTCTGCCAAGTGGAGAGTTTTTTTAAATATATAGATATATGTATGTACATAGATATCATAGTAATACAGGAGTTTTAAAAAGGCACATATAAATATCCATGATATCATTTTTACTTCCTTTCAGAATCTTAGTGTAGGGCAAGTATGGAGAGATAAATATATTTTGAAAAAAAAAAAACAAATTTCTTAGATGGTAATGACTCACCACCGGCTTCCACTTTAGAATTATTGCTCTAATTCAAGGTGCTCACACACTTGGGGTGTTGAATCAGTAACAGTAGTTTTAGCTTGAGGGGACGGGCTGTCAAATCTATCAGTGTTTTTATAGCTCAATAGATTTTCCCATTTAATGTCATAGCTGGGATAGATTTTCTAGCTAGGAGCTAAAGTTGCCAGAAATAAAAATTGTGTTGAATGTTTGGCTTGGATTAGTTTTTACTGGGTACTTAGCTGCTTTCCATAACTCTGGCTGATTTCCTTCACAGTTCAGACCTGTGCTAATTTGCACAGATATTCATATCTTGTTCTTTTAATGTTTGAAAGTAGTCTAATTTTAGAAGTAAATTAAAATGGGAAGATAGAAGTTGAAAGTTTTCTTGATTAAAGCTTTTTTCTTTTGCTATATTGCTATGATGTAATGAAAGTATACATTTATCTATTGTGTAAACATTCACACAATAATATAGTTAACCTGAAACAACACAGATTTGAGCTGCTTGGGTCCACTTTTATGCAGATTTTCTTGTAGGTTAATGAAATAAACTTACTGTATTAATGCAGTACAATACTGGAAATAAATATTACAGAAATATATTTCTTTCCCTTATGATAATTTTAATATATTATCTTTTCTCTAGTTTACTTTATATTAAGAATGTAATAGTAGATATAAAATACAAAATATGTGTTAATTGAATGTGTATGTTATCAGTAAGACTTCCAGTCAATAGCAGGTTATTAGCAGTTTTGGGGAGATGGTAATGGGGTTGGTACTTCTAATTCCTGAGTTCAAAGAGCAACTGTATTAAACTGTATTAAACCTGGAAATAGTAAATGTTTTGATTTTGACATGAATTTAGAAATTCGTGGTTCATCTTTGTGAATTTTAGACTTTCTGTTTGGGTGTCTGTCTGCTATGAAGCCAAGTAAAAGAAAAAGTAAACAAGGAGGTTTGAATTTTGGAGAAAGGGGCAAAAACTCAGTTATGTAGCATATTAAGAAGCATGACTTTGATTATTTGTAGAAGTATAGTTCTCTTTAGGTTTGAAATAACACTACCAAAAAAGTAGTCATAACATATGGTTAGTGGCATCAATTTATTGAATAGCAAAATGTAAGTTACAGAATATTTTATTCTGTAAACACTAAATCCCCAAAATGTTAGAATCAAATTTATCTGTTGTCATCATGGATCCTGCTCATGGTAGTGCTTAATTCTTTTTTTTTTTTAAGATATTTATTTATTTGTATATTTATACAAGCACTGGGTACAGTCAGAAGCGCGGGAGGGTGAGAGAATTCACCAGAGCCAGAGTGGGGAGCAGAGCAGGCAGAAGGACTGAAGTACACTGCTGAGGGGAGCAGCGGGTGGCAGGAGAGGTCTGCGCGCCATGTGGGACCCTCCTCCCGTGTCTGGGGAGAGCCGGGGATTGAACTAGCACTGCAGAGGCTGCGGGCAGCTTCGCAACCCAGCGCTCAACCACTGCGCCACCGAGAGGCCCAATAGTGCTTAATTCTTAATGTGGACTTTTGTTAGGTACACAGACTTGTCAATTTACTTCCTTAAGTATCTTTCCCCATATATTTTTTTCAAATGGGTGTAGGGAGGGCCTCCCAGGTGGCGCAGTGGTTGAGCGCTGGGTTGCGAAGCTGCCCGCGGCCTCTGTGGCACCGGTTCGATCCCCGGCTGCTTCCCGGCCACCGTAGGAGGGTCCCATATGGCGCGCAGACCTCTCCTGCCGCCCGCTGCTCCCCTCAGCAGTGTACTTCGGTCCTTCTGCCTGCTCTGCTCCCCGCTCTGGCTCTGGTGAATTCTCTCACCCTCCCATGCTTCTGACTGTACCCAGTGCATGAACAAACAAACAAAATAAATAAAACATGCCTCTATTAAAAAACAAATTAAATCAAATGGGTGTAGGGAGATGGATGCTGAGTGGGGAGTGAAACATCCTTTTTACATATTTTTATTTTTAAGATTTTTTTTTTATTAGGCATGCAAGAACTGGGGTATAGGCCAGAGATGCAGGGGGTGAGAGGATTCACCAGAGACAGAGTGGGGAGCAGAACAGGTGGATCCACTGAAACACACTGCTGAGGGGAGCAGTGGGTGAGACAGGAGAGGTTTGCCGTGCCATGTGGGTTGGCTCCCTGCTAAGGGATTGAACTGAACTCAGGTCATGCTGGGCCTTTCCTGTGGTAGCATGAGACTTAACCCCTAGGCCACCAGGGAGAGACCCTTACATATTCTTTTGTATTGAGGCTTAATTTTTTCAACTAGACTTTACTTTTTAGAGAAGTTTTAGATTCACAACAAAATTGAGTGGAAGGTAGATTTCCCATGTACCCCTTTATCCCCTACATACACATTGATAACCTCCCCCATTTTCAATATCCATCACAAATAGGTTTTTTATAGTCAGTGAACCCACACTGATACAAGGTCATCACTCAATCCATAAATTAAGTCAGAGATTAGTATTGAGTCTTGCTGTTTCTTATATGGATTTGGACTAATGTATGATCACATGTATCCATTTTATAGTATCATACAGAGTTGTATTGAGGCTTTTTAATCAGCATATATTTCTTTTGTAGTTCTTTTTAAAATAAAGAAAATGGGGGAGGGGAGAGTATACTACTGTTCTGTCTGCATGCTATGATTGTAAAACTTGCGGTAAAAATGAAGTACTTGTAAAACCTAAACTTAATATGTATTTGCAGTCTGTCACGGTACCTACTGCTTTATTGTTTGTGGGGGGGTGGGGGAATTCCATGTTTCTATTCTTCAGAGTTCTGTTGTTGAATCTGTTTTCATTCTATACCCTGTTTCTCTCATCTTGTGTAGTCAATTAACATCTATTTTTTAAAGATTTATTTATTTATGCATACAAGAACTGAGGTGTAGGTCAGAGGTGTGAAAGAGGTGAGAGGATTCACCAGAGACAGAGTTGGGGAGCAGAACAGGCAGCTCTACTGAAATACAGTGCTGAGGGGAGCAGCGTTTTCTTTTTTTTTTTTTAAGTTTTATTTTATTTATTTATGCATATAAGAGCTGAGATGTAGGCCAGAGGTGCAGGGTCGGGGGAAGTATATGA